GTAAGAATTACTATTTATGTATAAAAACTTACTGTTACTTGAATTAAACTTACTCTCTAAAAAGTAAGTTTGGGATATAAAGTAGTAATTTATTTACTTAAAAAATAAGTTTAATATTTATTCCAATTTACCTTTTGAAGTATAAAAGTTACTAATTTATTACAGTTAGCTTACTATTTTAGATGAGAAACTTACTTTCCGATTTTTAAGTGTTACCCTATTTAGGAGATAGATCCATCAAGTAATCAAGTGGTTGCCAAAAGTACAACAACCTATTATATCAGGTAAAGAACTGTTTCGTTACCATAATTATCGTTGCTAAAGCATTGTCCATATTCAATTGTTCTGCAGCTTATGCAGAAATTTACGGGAAAGTCAAAAAAAAGGGGGTTAAATGCAGAGAACCCCCACCAACTATTATACTAGTTGTACTTTGCACCTCAAACTATCTTAATAGGCACTTTACACCCTTAGTCAACTAAAAAATAATAAGAAAATTAAATTTATCTAAATAATTGATAAAAATGACCAATTTATCCTCTATTAAAAGCTTGTAAGTGACAAAAATACCTTTCAGTAGGAAAAATTGTCACTTTAGATTAAATTCTTATTGAAAATAGAGAACACTAAAATATATGATCACTTTGAATGACAATTAAACAAAAGAAGTAGGAAAAAAAAGGAAGAAAGGGAATAAATTCAATTCAAGAATCTTAGCAACCCTATTTTACTATATATTTCAAGTTAGCCTAGGTAAGAAAATACTGTTATCAAGGAAAAGTAAATATTTTAGGTCTTTTATTGAAACTTCTAAGTCCAATATTGTGTTAAATAATATGTGGGTTTTAACTTTGGCTCAATATTGAATCTTTGTTGCAATTATTATGCAAAATTCATACAGAAATTTTTGGGTTCTACTCCAATTTTATTCTTGTGAAGATTTCAAGTGAAATTTTATTGATTATGTGAAGTTATGGCACTATAATGCATTGAAGAAAATTATGAGATTTGAAAAATTGCAACAGTAGTTGCTCAATATTTTCATACTTTCCACTCATTTTTATCCCAATACTCTTAATTCTCATTCAAAGCAAAGCAGTATATTTTTATGTGTTAATAATTATAATTTTTGTTATAAAATGAAAATTAGTCTATTTAAATTAGCAATCTTTCCCTCCAAAATGGTATTTTTGCCATGAAGGATGAATTGGTCATTTCATGAATTACTTGGATGAAATTAATTTCGGTGTTATTTTTTAGTTGACCAAGTGTGTAAAGTGATAATTAAAATATTTTATGGTGTAAAGTATAACTAGATTAATAGTTTATTGCAGGTTTCTTGCATTTTATTTTAACCCAACAAAAAATGATCATTTTTATCTTACATTTTTCGAAGGTATATGATGTGGAGCATCCAACTCCCAATTTTGCTTCTAACTGCATACTATCAATACATATGTCCATATTTCTTTTTACAGTTCTAAGTGGGAATAGAATTAGAATTAATTTTTTATACACTATTAGTGTGATGATTTTTTTATACTAATAGATTCAGTTTTTAATGTACGCCATAGGTGCATGAGTTCAATTTCAATTTCAAATTCAAATTCATGTTATGCTGCATAATCTAAGCCTACTATTGTAAAAAAATATTATATTGACAATGTATAAAAAAGTTATCCACAGAATTAGAGCAAACGTAGTATATTATTTTTAGTTTACTAGTATTTCATTTTTTTTCCTTTTTATTTATTTTTGTTTCATGAATAAATGGCATGAATGTCTAAGAAGTGATAGAGTCAGATGGTCCCCCTGAGTCCTCATTATTGGTATAGGATCGTTTGTCTGACGACCAACGCCACTTATTATTATTAGGTTTTTTGTTGTCATTTACTTTCCTTAAATATTGTAGTATTTGTTGCCTGGCTATATATAGAGTTTGTTAATAGAGTTTTAACAAAGTATCTATGAGTGTGTAAAATCGAAAAATTTCGATTTATCGACCGAATTTGAATTGAATTTAAAATTTTGAATTCGGTAATTCGAAATAAAAATTGAAATATCTGATTTCGAATTAAACAAAATCGGATCAAATTCGATAAAAGGAGTTTTTAAATCGGAATCAAAATCAAAATTCGAAATTTATATTTTGATTTCAAATTCATTTTCATATATATTATATATATATGTAATATAATATTTATATAATAATAATAAAAAATAATAATAATTTTATATTCATTAATTCGTGAAATTTAAATTGACTGAATTCCGAATTTATTTTAAGCATCAACCAGCACTAAAGTATCAACCAAAAAGAGTTCCCAGCGCTAAAGTATCAACCAAAGCTTTTCCTTCGGGCTTTCCGGTGGCGCTCTCGGGCACAGAAGTGACCTTAACACTGTCATCAGATTCGGGCTCGGAGGAGGGCCAGAAATCCATCCGGAACTTATCGGATTCACCGAGGAAGAGCATTTAATTGGCGTAATTAGCTTGCGGGAAGAAACCGCCGGCGCTTTCAGCGGAGGGTTGAAATGGAGAGGAAGTTCAGTGCGAGGAGATAGAAGGAATCTGTGGCGGTGTGTGGAAATTGGATTGGGTTTATTGGGGAGGGAAATTGAAGGGGAGAATGAAATCGCTGTGCCCTGCATTTTTGGAGGTTTCTTGGGTGGAATCGAAGTAGAAGAGGAAATGAGGGGAGGAAAATAGACAGGAAGATATGGGTTGGTGGGGGAAATGAGGTGACCGTTGTGGTATCCGCCGAGGAAGGAGGGGAGGGGAGGCGGCTTTGTTGTTGGTGGCAGTTTGGTGAGGGGGGACTAAGTGGAAAGGGGTGGAGTTGGACTGCCTGAAGGAAAGGAGCATATGCTGAAAACACTTGAAAAGGCAGGAACGGTTTCTCGTGCCCGAATACTTGAGCCAAATTGCATATTGACATAACTAGTGCTTTTGGCACACAACACACGCTAAGGTGTGTTCTCATCGCAAGAAAATATATGATTAATTTTTTTCATATCAAGTTACATGTCACATTAGATTTAGACATGTCTGTTTAATATGTAAAATCAAAACAAATTGTGTTACTTATTTAAAGTTGTGGTCTACTATTGATCTTATTTATCCAATTGAAAGTTAAATTCATATCGATCAACAATTGCACGGTGCAATTGCTGCGATAACGGTAGGAACCCTGGTTTGGCGTTGTGGAACGTATATTAGGTATTGGAAACGGTAGTGTTCCCGTGTCTTAAATTTTTGGAAGAGGCAGTATCTTAAATTCATACTTTATACAAATTTTAGTACTTACGAATCAAAGATATGTATTTAGAAAGATAAGTCTGGATTTGTAAAATAAGAAAATTTTAGAACACTGTTTTGTGAATCTCACTCGACAATAAAAACATTTCACATCTTGTTATTAACTGATTATGGTGTACTTTCTTTAAATTTTAAAAAATTGAGCCAATTTCGAACATTAATATTTAAAATTTTGGCACGGTTGTAAAAAAGAATGCGGATCTACAAGGGATATATTTTAGGAAGGAACAAACGTTTAAAGAATATTCATCTACAGTTCTAGTCAACCTAGGCAGTCCTCATAAATCTATACAAGTATTTAAATCTATACAAGTCCTCATAAATCTAATAATTGGGAGAATAACATTTGGGGTATGTTTGGTTACCCAAGGAATTGGGATTTAGAATTGGAATTGGGTCCCCAATTCTAATTCTCGTGTTTGGATCCTACCTTTCATATAGAATTAGAATTGAATCGCAATTCCAAATCGATCGAATTCCATGATTTCAATTCTTTGGCTGGACCAAAGAATTCCAATTCTAATTCCACGGCCAGATTCTCGTTGGGTCAACACGCGGACTTTAAATGGGTAAAAACTAAAAAACGGGTCAACTATAAAGCTAGATTAAGGAAACAAAGCTAGCTTCTTCCTCTGTCTTCATTAGCAAATCGCCATATGCTCCAGCGTTCTCTGTCGTTGCTGCCGCCGCGCCTTCTCCTTGTCCCAGCACCTCTGCCGTAACCCCTACAAGCCTTTCCTCCCTCTTTTCCTCCCTCTGCCGCAACATCGAGTGGGTGAAATTTACAGATTGAGTTATATTTTGGTTTCCTTTCTTTCGTTTCCTATTAATCTTGAATTGTGCCTCCTGCTTTTACCTTTGCCGCCGCTTCCATTGCCGTCACCACCACCACCGTCGCGTCCTATCGTCCTCACTCTCCTTCCGCTCCTTCAATTCTCAATTCTCGACAAATTTAGGGTTTATGATGGTATATTCATTTTTAAATTTTTGCCAATCAAAGATTGATTTTTTTTGGTTGTTCCTCTGATAATGTTTGCCATTAATGTTATAAATTTGCTACTGTTTTTTTGCTTCTAATTCAACATTTGGATGAGGATAGAAAAAAAGGTAGCACTCTGTTGCCCTGTTCTTCTAGATTTAACGTAACCAAGCAAAATCTTTTTTGTTTTTGATACAGTAGCAACCAGGTTTTTGTTTGAGATTTTTCCAATAGCTAATTTGGTCTTTTGAATTAATAGCTAGTTTGGAATATATAATGTTAGTTTAAAATCATATTGGTGATGAAGATGAAAGGGGTAATCTCGTATGTCTTCCTTAAAATGGTTTTTTGAGATCTATTAGAAGTTTTTGCATTGTGGAACCACAAATTGATACTGCATTTTGATTCTACACTGAAAGATGAGATATTTAGCTTTGTTGTGGTTCATGTCTGCTTCATATCCTGTATTTTGTGCAAGCAGTGTTCTAGTAAATTATCAATATTCTGCAATGTATATTATTTCTCCATCATCTAGATAAGATTAATGTCTCATATGATTTACGGAAACTTGTTCTCCATCATATGATTTTTCTGGTGCATATTTGCCTCCCGCTTTTAGTTCTATAATGCAGTGGCTGTTGAATCTATTCTTAAGAACATGACATTGTGATGTTTTTCTGGTGCATATATTTGCCTTAGATATGGCATCTGAAGCAACATCTCAGTCAAAAGGGAAAGGCAAAGGGTATTTCACTTGGACTCCTGAAATGGATCGTGTAATGGGCACCTGTTTTATTGACCAAATAAACCAAGGAAACAAATTGGATGGTAAATGTGCATGGAAAACAGTAGCCTACACCGCAGTAATGAATGCTTTATTCGATAAACTCAATATATCTATGACAAAGACTAATATTATATCTCGTTTGAAGACATGGGAGAAACACTATGACATCTTATACCCACTGCTCCAGTCCTGTAACTCTGGGTCTACGATAATATGAGACTACTCTAGAGGTAGAATTGATGTTCGTAATGAGGATGTATGGAATGCTCGAGTTGGTGGGTATGTTCAGATCTATGAGAGAGCTGGTGGGCATGTTCAGATCTTGCAAGAGAGCATCCAGATTCCATTCTTGATGGGAAGCTTGTTGTTTCTGGTAGGAGCAATCCTTAACAGCAGAGAGCAGACAGGGCATATCCATCGCGGTATGAAATTATTGGTAAGTCAAATTCTTTGTGGGGCTGAGCACAAAATCCTGAGCCAGAGACAAGAGCAGTACCCATGCTTGAAACTTTGACTGATCTTCCAGCTTTGCTTCTATTCGGGAAGTTGATCTCTATATTTCACGTATTGGTTCGCAGGGTTTGACGTGGATATGGATTGGCATATTTGGGAGCCTGTTATTCTTCGCTAGGGGCCTAGCAAATCTTGTAAAAGTGTTCAAGATGCAGCAAGGTGATGGATTACAGTTGGAGAAACTGCGAGGTGGAGCACAAGAGCGACTGCTTGACTTGAGAGAAGGCCAGGTGCCGTTCATCTTGGAGGAGTCCTCTAGGAGGAGGGAAGGGCCTGCGGAGGAAGGGAAGATTGCTATTGTTCCTGCAACTCCTTACAAAGATGTTCTCCTTAGTCAGACCTGAGTATTTGGTGCTTCAATATCGTCTGTCTGTACCTGTTTCTTCTCCACGACTTGTAACATGATTCTGAAGTAGTAATAGTGTCCAGTATAACTCAAGCATGTTAGATTTTTTTTTCTTTTTGGTCCTTCCACCTTTCTCCACACCCTTTTCCACCATCAACTGTTAGATTCAGAATTCGAATAGTAAACTGAATTTATTTGTTGAGAATGTTAATTAAATTGTTTTAGAAACGTACTATTTGAGTTAATTAGTGACTAATTCACTGTCTAGTATTCTACCATGTTTTAAGAAATATGTTAGTGTCATTGGGGATTTACTTTGAAGGGGGTGAGGTCCAGTTTTGGTTGGATGCCAATATGTATACCATACTTGAACAAAAGAAGGCAGTCAATATGATATGAGAGTGGGAAAAAATAAATTATTAAAGGCACAAATTGGTTCTTTCTTTTAAATCTTTAGTAAAAAATAGCTAAATGTAAGAAAAAAAAGAAATTATTATATAAAAAAGAAAAAAAAAGAAAAATTTTATGTAAGCAAATGTTTCATGAAAACAATTCTAATTCCTAATGAATTCTTCTCTCATACAAACAAAGAATTTGGAATTTCAAATAAATTCCGTATCAATTCTATGCATTTCCCAAACGAAAGAATTGAAATGACTTGGAATTCTAATTCATAGAATTCCAATTCTATAGAATTTCAATTCTAATTCAATTCTAATTCTGTAGAACCAAACGTACCCTTGAGATAATGCAGACCATAGTTATAAAACTCAACTCGAACCTCAACTCAAAGGGGTGATCAGTTCAACGGGTTGTTTGTCCAATTGTATAGGAGATTATTTAAAAGAAAAGAAAAGGTGAAATTTTCAAAGGAAAGGTACATTAAAGTCTCCTCTGGTCAGTTACACCACTTAGTAACGTACTACGTACCGCACCAAAGCCATAATGGTTCATCATGAAAAAGAGTGTCCACTCACTAATAAACCCGGTTCAATCCCTGCCGAAAATCAATCCTCACTTTCAGACGGACAACACTTTATATGCGATGAATTCCAATCAATCCCAACTTTAGATTTTTTTTTTTTTTTTTCCAAACGATAGCAATCCCAACTTTAGATTTGTTTGCCAACTTCATTCTTTTTTCTCTTCCAGTACACGAATAGGGCCTTTTATTTCCTTACTCTCTTTTTTTGAGTTTGGACAGCATTGGCAAATATTAGAATCAACCAAATAAATACCTCTAGATATTTTTATTGATTTCGAGATTTACAAATCCCAAGAGTTTTTACTATCAGGATCTTTGAGGCCCACTGAAGGCTTGAGTCATTCCTTGTTTAATAGTGAGACAATTAAAAAAGCAAGCATTGAAGTGTGAGATTTCAAATAATTAAAAAAAAAAACCAAAGGACTTAAAAAGCTTGTGAATTGGGGAAAACAAATACGGAAACATTTTATTCTTTTTATTTATGTATTTTGATAAAAACTTGAAACAATTTCATTAATCACTACACGACACAGCTTGCATTCTCAGTATGAATTACAAATACCAGGTCCGCTTTACAAAAACTTGAAATCATTATTGCATTCTTTCCTTCGGCAAGTCAAATATTCTGAGGTTAGGGACACTGGATACCAGGTCCGCATCAAGCCCACTGATGAAATCTTCTCGCATGTCCACAAGCTCAAGCGTATCAAGAGTAGATATGTGCTTCAGCTCTTCCGGCAACTTCTTTAAATAAAAGCAGCCCCTGATTCTCAGGCACTGGAGCTGTGGCAATGCACCTTCCTCCACCTTTATTTCATGCACATGAAATAGGCGGCTGAGCTCAAGGAACTTCAATTGGTGAAACCCATGCCTAGAGATGATCATGACCTGCTGTGGTTCCCCATATAGTCCCCCATATACATCATCCTTTATTTTGAGGATCGACAGCTGTCCCAACTTCTCCAATACTGGCATTGGGTCATCCCGAAGACCAGTGAATTTCAAAGACAAGCGAGAGAGATTTGGAGGGAAATCAGGAGGCAGCTTTCTCAAAAATAGCCCGGATAGCCTGAGCTCTGTTACATGATGGAGCTTAGACAGTCCACCTAGAGATTGTGGCAAAGGGCTATAATAAAGACGTAGCGTCTTTAGGCTTCCAACCTCAGATAAATGCATGCAGAGTTTGTCTATGTCTGACTTGTCATCCACTAAAATCATCAGCTTCTGAAGACTCGTCAGAGTTATCATGTTATTTTGCATAATGTCATGATAGCTTATGCGTGACAGAGTCTGGAGATTCCTCAATCCTTCAATCTTAAGAGGCACATCACATTCCATATTATATGCATATAGATGCCGTAAACTTTCAAGCTTCCAAATGAAATTTGAAAGCTTCACTGGATCTACAGAGATTGTCCGTATGTCAAGAGTTTGTAGGTTTCGCAAGCAACCGACGGAAAGAGGGAGCCTTCTAATGTATGTGCCTCTTAAATTGAGGTACCTTAGAAGCCTGACTTCACCTATTTCTTTTGGCAAATTATAACCCATCTTAACATTCTCAAGGTCTAGTGTCCTAAGCTTTCTGAAACTTTTGAAACTAAGACTAATGTTTTCCCGGATGTTGAAAAAAAGCAGAGACCGGAGAGAAGGGGTCGAAGACCTAAAATAATTTTTATCCAGAGGGAGACTATGAACAGCAAGGTACCTGGATTTGGCTGATATTTGATCATCTCTGGTGTCATGGATCTGAAAAAAATTTTCATCCTTTGCCTTTCTGACTGCAAGCTCTCGCAGCAAATCATGGACTCTGCAGCTTTTAATCCTCTTATCAACCGTCATTTCCGCCACCTGGACCATATTTCTGCTACAAAGTCGCTCCACATCGTCATATGCTGCAGCTTCCTCCAGATTTTCTGCATCTCCTTTCTGCATTATTCCCTCTGCAACCCACAGATGGATCAACTTGCGCACAGAAATCACGGAATCTTCGGGAAACAAACCCAAATACAAAAAGCAAAATTTCAGATTGGCAGGGAGGTCTGCATAACTTAATTCCAGAATTGCTGATACCCCACTCTGGCCCCTTGATAGGTGTGTGCTGAAATTGTTGAGAACTTTCTCCCATTCACTCTTCAACTCTTTCTTGCCCAGTAGCAGCCCACCTACAACTGTGATGGCCAGTGGCAGACCAGCACATCTCCTTACAATCTCTCTGCCTACTTTTTCCAAATCCCGAGGACACCCAGCATTATCCCCATGGACTAAGGCCTTTCTGAGGAACAACTGCCAGCTGTCTTTCTCCCCCAAAGTTTTCAGCTCCTCTGGTTTGCTAAGAGCATCAGCGTGTACGGCAACCTCCCGATTGCGACTTGTAAGTAGCAGTCTACTTGATGCATTAACATCAGGAAAGGCCCCAGCAAGACAATCCCACGCTACTTCCTTCCATACATCATCAAGCACCACAAGATAACGCTTGTCTTGTAGATCTTGACGGAGCCTTTCTTCCAAGTCCTGCTCCTGCATCTTTTCCAACATGTCAAGTAGCTCATTAGTTATCGGATTTAATTGCTTTATGATTGTCCTCAGCGTCTCTTTGTGATTGTAGCTTGAAGAGACGCAGACCCAAGCACGGCAATCGAATCTTGTCCTGACTTCAGCATGGTTATAAACTTTTTTGGCTAGAGTTGTCTTACCAGCACCTCCCATGCCGACGATTGAAACCACACGGCGGTTTTTGTCCTCTTTCAAAAGTTCTGCCACCAGGGATTTTGTTTTCTCCTCGAAGCCCACTATATCCTTGTCCTCAACCAATCGCCGGACCCGTTGAAGCTCTTCTCCATGTGTAATCGTCCCCACTCCAAGATTTTTGATACCGTATTTGTCACGGCTCTTCTCCATGTCATTGAGCCTCATCTGCAAGGATTCAATCTCTTTGCCCATCTTGTAGCGGTTCACAATTTTCAAGGGATAATATGTCAATTTGGTGACGAGTCCCTTGTCCTTTGTGAAGAGCTCAACTTTGCTGGCAAAGATCTCAATGATATCCTCCGCATCGTAGGCAGCAGCTCTGATTTCAGAAACCCAGTTGCGTATCGTCGCTTCTTCATCTTGCCTCTGATCAGCATCTTTCAGGAAACACCGCATCCGGACCAGATCATCTTTGAGTCTCTCAACTTGTCGTCGAACACCTTTCAGGAAAACAATTTTTTGAATAAGCAGATCGCCAGTTCTCTCAATTACAAAAGAGATAACAGGGTCAGCCATCTAATCTAAGAGAGCTTTGCTTCTCAATAAAAGAGTAAGAACCAGAAATGGAGGAGAGGCTCTTATATTTCAAGTGCAGTTGCAAAGCCAGATTAATATCTGCATCTGTTTTTCTACACATTTTTATAAAGCAGAAGTGGCTAATGCAAAGACTGTATATCTTGTCAGTAGGTAAGGGATCAATGACTTTACAAGAAATCTATATTCAGTTTGTACGTAAAAGATGATTCCAAGCATATGTTCTTTAACTCTGTTTTTCAAGCACTGGGATTTCACGATAACAAGTTACCTTTAGCATATTTTCAACACAACATAACCAAGTTACCTTTAAAGAGGGGGGAAAAAACGATGGTGTAAGATTCCTATCTCAATCTTCAACTTGATTTTCTATCATTTACCTCTGCCTTTTTCTTGATTGTCAATTACTTTTTCTTTCTTAAACTTGATTTCCTGATTTCATTGAGAACGGACGAAAATAAATAAATAAATAAATAGAACCAAATTAAATGAAAGATGTGCATTTTGGTATCACTACTACTATACTTACTAAGATGTTTAGCCAATCAACATACCCAATTACAACAATGAAGAACATATTATATGATATAATTTACAGGTGGAAGTGGAATTTCTCAAACTAATATGCAACTCTTATATCTTGTCTATAGGTAAGGAATCAATAAATTTACAAGATGTCTACATTCAGTTCGTACGTAAAGGATGATTCCAAGTCTCCAACCTCACCCTCCTGCTTACTGAATCGAATATTTGCCAATGGTCCAGTTGTCGTTTTGTTTTGACTGATCTTAGAAGAGACCTGCGATTCCATAGTCCCATTTTTCCTTCCGGTTTTGTCCTTCAGCTTCTTAAACAAGAGCAACTACTCCAGGCAAAAGAAAGCAGGTTTTGATTTAAATGGATTTACATTAATCAGATTGTGACACGTGGGAAATTCTAGAAAAAACAGAAAAAAGAAGGGCAGATTGCTTGTTTAAGGAAAAAATTATTTGGCACGCAAAAGGCTACTGTCAACTTTATGCCATGTTTCCAGGTCCGAACAACAATAGCTTACACAGTTTCTTTAGTCCAAATTTTTACCCTTCTCTTTTAAGAATCGAAAAGCAGCCCAGAATTCAATTCTCTCTTAACCTGGAGTGCCAGCTTCTTTAATACCATAAAATTCGTTTCTTTGTCTTTCTGTTAAACTTTTAGCTTTCTCCTAATAGTTTGTGAAGATAAGAATCTTCAACTGAACATGAACAAGTTATCTTTGTAGTGGAAAAAAGAACATGAGCAAAGAATTCCTACCTCAACATTTAAGCCAAGTTTTCATCATTTACCACTGCTTTTCCTTTTGTGGGTCAGAGTGGAAGCCTGGCCTCATCAACACTCCGCATTATTGGTGATGAAATCTATTGCAGTGTCACTAATCACAATGCCTTGAAAGATTTCAAAGAATTCCTTTGCAGTACATTGACATAAGGGTTGCAAGATAATTAAATCTCAATGTACCTGTTAACTATGTTAAATTGAAAAGTGTAATAGAGCTGCCTAGTTGATTGCAAGATATGAGACAGAGCCTGTTTGTATCCTGTCGACTTAAGGCTTGACTCTCTCTCATCACAAATTAAAGGCACTGTAAAAGAAAATATTGAAGCTTGTGTGGAACCCAATTCCTGCATTCATGACAAAATAGCCCTACCTGAGGGACAAGCATATGTAGAACTTTGGACTACATTTAGGACATTCAGATGTAGGAATGGGTATGTATATCTCATTCCTCTGTCGTGTAGTTCATTTTCTAGCTGCGTTGAGAGACTTGTTCCATGTGCTTAATTGCTAGAGGTTAGGCGCTGTGTGAATCATGGATTTGATGGACAGGATTATGTGTTTTCCTCTACCAGACTTCTTCAGTGAGGGAAATGCTCCAGAGCAGGAGACATTGTCAGTGCTCACCGTCCCAGCTGAAAAAATGGGACGAATTGTTGGTAGAAAGGGATCTTCAATCTTGTATATCAAAGAATCCTGCAAGTAACTCTCTCTCTCTCACGAGCATATAGTTCATTCGCCAAAGTTAAAACCATAGAGATATTAAAGGAGTCACTTCAACTTTCTTTAATCTTCACCTATAACAATCAAATCAATTTTTAAGATACCGCTTGCAGACTAAGAATCGATTCAGAATATAACCATCTCATCGAGTAAAAAACTCAAAAACAGGGCTGCCTGTTTATGATTTCCAGCATTAGCAGCGCCTGAATAAACTAAAGCTATACATGTCGAAAAACTATAAAAATGGTGCCGCTCGAAATTAGACTGAAAATAATAATAACAATAATAATCTGTAGAAGACAATGTTGTTATTTCGAACCATAAGTTGGCCTATATTGGCTCAAAAAGTCAGCATTCAAGATATTCCCAATACCGCTGTACAGAGTTGGATCTTCAGTCAACTTCGATTTTCTAGTATTGATAGGAAGCATAAATTTTCTAGCGTCAAATGCTGTTAATAACAGTCAATTTTTGATTTCTCTACGCCAATTTATTATCAAATTATCCAAGGTTGCGCAAAGCTAACTCTTAGCTCGGATTTGGGCAAATTCCAAAGTTTTCTTGGCATTAATACTTTGAAATCCATTCAATTTCTTGTGTATGTCCATGACTAAATCTTCAATACTAATATATCGAAGAAAGTGCTAGGCCTAAACTAAGGTATAAACTAAAATATACCTAAATTCTCGTTTTGATTCCTAAACATTTTAGTACCTAAAGTATAAAATCTATTCCACTTTAAGTAAAACATGTCCTATTTTAGTCCCAAACCTTAAGCATAAACTCTTCTTTACTTCTTCTATATTTTGATCGTTACAGTGTAATAGATTTTATACTTAAAGTGTAATTGGGATAGACTTTACACTTTAGAGACTAAAGCGAGATGAATTTTTCTTAAACAAGTTATAAGGGGGCAATCTCTTAGAGAACAAAAAACATATTGAATTATTTACATTTTGATCACCTATTGTTTAAAATTATTTAAACAATACCCCAATTAATATGTTGTTATACTTTATCCACAGAACTTTATATACTTGGGTTTCGAGTTTTAAATCCTATTCATTTAATAAATAATTTTACGCTAAAAAATTGACATATCTAACTCTTGAATTGAATGTTTTGAAACCAGATCCAACCCATGCAATCCAACTAGAAAACCTGTCGCTCGAGCCCTTTTCTGGTCAAGAGCTAAAAAACACCTCTTTTGTTATTCAGCCCACAAAAATCAGGCTGTCGGCTTATGGATCCTTCGGCCCAGAATGGGTTTGCAACATTACTTCAAGGATTTTTTATTTGGTCCACCACGTGCAAATTGGGCCTTTTACCTGTTTACCTCGTTTTTTATCTTAGCTTAGCAAGTGCAGTGGCGAATTGTTTTTTTTTTAAATGGTTTTGTTATCCTTGCTTTTATGATTTATCATTGTGCATGTTATCCTATTATCTTATTATTATTTTTGTGATTCTTTCAGTTGAACTATCTATTTGTTTTCATTTTCATACTTGTCCCTTCAATTCTTCTATGTTTTACACATTAAGAAAAATAAATTTATAATATTGATCGGTGTAATATATATTATAAATTTATAAACATCTTTAATCGATTTTTATTTTGTTACCTAAATAATTGTATTGTATATCTCTAATAAGAAGTCACCGCTTCACAAATCCCGTCTTCTTAAAGACTAAAATTTGGAAGTCTTCTTTTCATCATGATTAACTTAATTATTTTTGTTCTTGAATAGGGAAGAGTGAACAATTACCGGTATTACTAAAGCTTCTCTATTATTTAGACTACCAATGAATTATAACAAATTTAACCTACTAAAATTATACAAAATAACAAATAAAAGCTCCTTAGGTTGCGGTATCCCTAACCACTCATGCAAGTGCTATATTTGGATCATTGAGTACTACATCTAAGTTAGTTATGGTGTAATTTCCTTATGCATTTGAATCCTACTTTCGTAGTAAATCAATTATACTTATAACTAATCCACACCTATTCTCATGGTTATGAAATTAGCTACAAGTTTATTTCTTCAATGAAATTACATGAAATGAATCACTAAAAATAACATAAGTGCACCTCTACTTTCGTGAGTCTACTCCCTATGTTTAGCACTTCTTGAACCAGTGTTAAATCTCAATTTTCATTGCAGAAACAACACCTTAGATAATCACAATCAATGGTACCAGATTAATCATGATTTAAAGAGCCAAAGTGCTAAATAACTTGCTTAAATCATAGCAATCAAATAACCAAATAATAAACACTAACAATCATAGAAAATTCAACCAAACCCAAGGTATAAACTTTAAAGACACATAATGAACACAAAATTCAGAACTTATATATTAACCAAACTTGGAATCAAATACAAAAGATAAAGAGTTTGGAAGGAATGTAACCCTTGTCACATGAGTTTATCTCCTTGCCTTCTCCATCCTCCATCTTCTTCTTCATCTAGCTAATAAACAAGAATGAATGACACTCTACTAATTACTAACCTACTGCTATTACTCAGAAAATGCAAGAGCTACATCTCTGTACTCCAAGTTTCTCCCGTATGTTTCTCTATTCCTCCATCTTGCAATGAATTTGGCTATATAAAGATGAAAGATTGGTCAAGACTTGAGGTTTACACCTCTCTTTTACAGCTGGGAATGTTTTTCACATGTCTAGCATCACATGTGAGTTGGTGGAGGTGAAATTGAGTTTTACCCGTACACAGCAGCCTTTTTTGACTAATTTGGCCGGATTGCTACGGTGCCACTTTGGTACACTTTTGTTCAATTTTCAGCTCTGCTCCGATTTTGCATCAACTTCAACCGAACTTTTCTTGATGATAAAAGCTGATTTAGCTATTGACCAAAACATGAAACTTGTAGCCCTTTGAGTTAGCTTTCCAATGCATGAAGAATCACCTCATTTGGATCTGCGTAGGCTGAGAAATGACCAAAATACCCTTGATTGCTTATTGCCCTATTTCAACTTGGGCCAATGGAAATTAGCTACAGTAATTCGGCTTTTTGACCTGGAAAACCTTCAAATTAGATTCAGATGCCTTCACCAAAGTTGTAGATCTATCTCTTATCTTCAAACTGGTTTACGAATCATTTCAATCCAATCATTGTAGCTCAAGTTATAGCCAAAATACGAAAATGTGTCAAAACTGTCAAAATACACAAAATCCAAGTAAAAAGTGATAAAAACCTCATTTAATCACTTA